TTTCATATGCTTATTTTCCATCTGTATATCTTCTTTGGTAAGATGTCTGTTCAGACCCTTTGCCCATTTTTGAATTGGGTTATCTGTCTTTAGGGTTGAGTTTTAAGWGTTCTTCACATATTTTGAATACAATTCCTTTATCAGATTTGTGTTTTGCAATTTTTTCCCCCAGTTTGCAGCTTGGCTTTCATTCTAATAACACTGCCTATCATGTTTTTTAATTTTAATAAAATSACACTTATTTATTTCATGTATCATGCTTCGGGGGTAACGTATCTCACCATGAAACCCAAGTCATACAGATTCTGTTTTTGTTCAAAAGTTTTATAGTTTTGCATTTTACATTTACATCTGTGATTCTCTTGGGTTTGAGTTAGTTTTTGTTTAAGGTACAAAGTCTGTGTCTAGGTTCATTTTTGTTCATATGAATGTCGAATTATTATAGCACMATTTATTGAAAAGAATATMCTTCCTCCATGGAATCATTGTAAACATTTAGTYGACTGTATATTTATGGATCTATTTCTGAATTACTCTTCTGCACTGATCTATGTTCTATTCTTTTGCGATAGGTAAAGATTTAACTTCCAGAAAATAAAGGACTAATGTCCAAATTTTCTACCCATGATTCCTAGACATCTTTATCTTGAAAGGAAAAATTAGGGGTGGGAAACATGAGCGAGTAGACTCTAGGGGAAAACTATTATGGCCATTCAATAGATCAGCACCTACTGCATAAAGACACTTTAAAATAAGACAGGGACAGACAACAGATACAAAATATTTTCCTACCAGTTTTTTGATGTTCTTAATCTCCTAATTAGAAGCCACCAACATTTAAAATCATATTAATAGTAGCTGTTTTACAATTAGCAAAGGGTTCTATCCAAACTTTGGCATTATRATGCCTAATGTGTCTGCTACTCAGKTTTTCTGACTTCCAGAAGTTTTAGTGGGATGCTGGGTGAAGCTACTAAGGGCTGAATAATACACACATCTAAGTAAGTGGATTATTTGTTTWAAGATCCCTTCAAGCCCTAAATTTCATTTTTAAATAACAGTAAAGCACCAGATATTAGCTCTCTATTTTTGGCCTGTGCTGTCCAATACAGTAGCAACTATTCAAGTGTGGTTAATTAAATTTAAACTAAATTTAAAAATTAGTTGTTGGGTCACACTAGCCACATTTCAAGTGCTTAACAGTCACATGAGGGTAGTGGCCACCACGTGGGACAGCACAGAGTAAGACATTTCCATGATTACTGAGAGTGACATTGTATGGTCCTGCTTTAAGAGTCCAGAACGCAGGATCATTTACCATGCCATACTTCAGCAGGGATGATTTATTTTGCAGGCAGCATCCCGTGATCCAACTTAGTTATCTTCTGCAAACATTACTCCCAAGAGCCCTGGCATTAAGTCATAGACTCAAATGTTTGCTGAATACATTCTGATTGAACGAATGGAATGAATGAATGTCCTACTGGAGATGGCAGTAGTTCTGGCAACAGACAAAAACCCAAAAGCAAACTAACACAGAAGGATCATTATATAATATCATAATCATTTAAAAAGACCAAAAGATTAACTATGAATCAAAGGTAAGTTTTCAGCTTATGTTCAAACTACAAAGCAGTTTATCAGGTCTGTATAAACACTAAAGAATAAAAATAAAATACTTATTTGAAATGAAGCTCAAAAGTCAAAGTCAAAAGACATCAAACTAGTT